TTTTAAATTTTATTTTTATTTCCCCATGCAAAAGCACAAAACTGTGACTTACTCGTTAAATAAGGCAATGAGTAAAGATGGCAAAAAGAAATCTATCTATAAATAGTGGCAGGTCGTGCAACTTCCTACTGTCTTGCATAGGAAATTCTATCATTTGGCTTTCATATTATCCCTAATTGACTTTAGGAGAATTTGGAAAAATAATTTAAGAAGGTTTCTATTTTCAAGTTTATAACAATTCATTTTAAACATATTTTTTCATAAAAAATAGCTTTGCTAACCTCCACTTTCATGAATTCCTATTAAAAATCATAGTTGAAAGTTAACTTCAAAAATACTTTAAACAACATTTTTGAATTTGATTTTTAAAAAGTTCAGTGACCATTAATAGATGGACTGCTCTATTCCCATCTTTGCATATAAGTAAGTCCCTGAGTTTCTGAGCCTGTGGCTGCTGAGGCAAATGAAAGCACCAGAATGGCAGGGACTGTCATGAACTCGTACACCAAATTCCAAGAAAGTGTGGCTAGGGGAGGAGCAAGTCTACCTCAGAAGCTGGGATAGTCACAGAAGCTTTGGGGGAAGCTGTTCAGAATTTGGACTGCCAAGATGAGTTTGCCAGGCAGAGTGCTGGGTAAGGATATTTGGAGGAGGGACAGTCAGAGCAAGTACAACAAACACAGCAAGTAGATGTGTTCAGAAGACACTGAATAGTCTCCAGATTGGCTGGATTATAGAGGGTGAGAATTGGGAGACAGGCAGAATGTGAGACAAGAGAGACAGATCGAGTTTGCATTCTAATTGCTTCTTTCTTTATATCCTGGGTTGTGGGTCACAGTTACAATTGTGGATGTCCTCTGGTACACCTGTCAGTGGATTAGTAATTAGATTAGGAGGGAATGCCAACCATATCCCCTCCCTAGCATGCAGCTTTAAAAATCAGAGCTCTAATCTACATTTTCTAGTTCAATAGTATTTTCAAGATGAATGGTAAATAAAAAGGAGAGAGAAAACTTGGAGACATTGAAGCCCACACTTTTGCTGGAACAGTCACGAGTTCTCCAGCTTTCAAGGGTGTCTCATGGTTACCTACAATCTCCCACCTCCCTTTGCTCCCAGATCTTCTGAATAGAGTATTTTGAGGGAGGGTTTGGGGAGTGAGAATAGAGGTATTGAGAGGCACATTTAAAATCAGCAGATTAGCTTTTAACTATGCTTTTGGCTTGCCTATTTTTGGCAGGCAAGCAAAATGTAGACAGAAATAGTATTTTTATACCTTTTAAAAACTGTGGAATGATAAAAATTCTAGGGAGAACTAGTCTCATTTTTGTTTCCTCATCTTCAGTTTGAAAAGGACAGGCTATATTGTGGGATTTCAAGGTATAAGGTCCTGGCATTAGTTTTGTGATCATGCCAGTACACAGTTAGAAAAAATAGCTCCCGTTCTGTTCTGAATGCCAAGAAGATATCACTTCTAAGCTGCATGTCAGTGTTTGATGTTTATTGGATAAAACATCTGTCCTAATTCTCCAGTTTCCTGGCTCCCGTTGTAATTTTACATGCAAGGGATTTTCCCTGATCCTTTCTTTAACATTAATTTTCCTTTGGCTCGTATTTCAGAGGCCAAACTCAGTCTCTTAGATAAATATTCAGGCAACTGTTTAAAATGAGCCCTTCATTATTTATTTATCACATCTATTATTAAGAAAGCTGCAAGAATAAGTAAAAGTGAAAACCTTGCATTTTGTCAGAATGTGAATCTGCATGAACCTGCACAAGCCAACTATACTCAGTGAATTAGTGTTTTTTAGATTCAGCTATTCTCAAGTCATATACATGGAAAAAGAATGAATAAAACAACCCAAATGCCCATGGAAAAGGTCCATACTTGTTAGTACTTTAGTATATGAACACACTGCTTGAAGCCTATGGGTAAATTGTAGATGTGTCCTACCCATTTTTTATTACTTGATTTTTTTTCCTTAAAAATAAGTTATTTAACCCAAATGAACAATCATATATATATTTTTCTGTTACATTTTGCTTTTCTTTAAGGTTCTGTAGTTATTGTAACAGAAATAAATAAATAGGGAAATATGGTTTGATCCGAAGAAATAAATGTCAGGAACAACTTCCAGAAAGAGCGATTAGGGAGAAAAATTACCACCTAGGACCAGTGTTCTTGATGCTTTACATGGGTCTAGAATGGAGTGTAAGATAAAAGCAAATACAGTTGGGTAAAGGAAAATGAATTATTTTTGGGAAAAACTTCATGGTATCCCTCAGTGCAGTTTCAGTTTTGCTGTCCTGCCCTCCCTCTGAAGTTCTGGACTCTAAATTGAACAGAAACTTTCTTTTGGATACAACATATGTAAGTAGATGTCAATCATTATCAACATAGTGCCATCATAAAGTTAACCCAAAGTATGCAGTGTATATGCTGATACTGAAATAGGTATCCCAATGTCTGATAATTTCCTGGGTCAGAAATGGAGTAAATGGTGAGCTATTTAACAGTTACCCTCAGGAAGGACAGATGATTACATACTGCTCTTTCCTTATTCAGAAAATGAGAGGGATGCAGGGCTTTAATTACGTGTACACTGGGTCAGAATAGTCTTGCTGAAGTGAAGTTTACCTTTGAAAGACGTATGAATAATAGCATTTTCTAAACAAATTGGTATTACATATAGATGTCCAGTGTGTAGACGTGTGCTCATATTTTTCCTGAGTTCCTCAGTATCTGTAGACTGCATTTAGTTCTCCTTTGAACGAACTAACCTGTAAGTTTCCCATTATCTAGGTGTAAATGCCATTGTAAGAATGTGAAAGTAATACAACATATTTGCTAATGGACACTTTACTTTTGGCTGGGCATACATAAAATCTGTTCATTTGGGATCATACATTCTATCTGCCATCTCTCTGTCACCTCCTTAGTTGGTCACATTCCATAGAGACTTCAAAATATTGAAAAGGCTATCTATATTATCAGTAAATACCATATATTTATGTTGACTATAAACTGATGATTATTGTTAATATTTCTTGACAAATATGCTTTGACAAAATGTTACAAATTATTCTAGTTATTATTTAAAGGAGAGCAGCCTAGGAACCGTAGTTTATGTGATCAATGTAATAAAATGTTTCTTAACTAGAACATTTAGACTGTCTTAAGGAAAAAATCTGTATTGTATTAAATAAAAAAGTCACCCAATCTTTAATTCAATGGCTTTTCTCAGTTAATCTGCAAATCTTTTGCTACTTCAACCATAGTATTTCCTGGGCCCATCACTTACAATTCTCAATTTTTCCTTGTCATGGGCTGAGTGACTTGTTTGAGCCTATCTTTACTTCTAGTTTCTATACCTCCAGTATCATGCAACTAAATTATACTTCTTTAGATATGGTATTTTCTGTATCAGATGTTGACTTTTGAAACCAAATATTCTAAGTAGAAAAATCATGGGTTCTGGAGCTAGACTGGGTTAGCCTTGAATCCCATCTCTGCGGTTTCATTGGCTCTATGACCATGGGCAAGTTATTTTACCTTTCTGAGCTCTAGTTTTCTCCCTCCAATATAGAAATGTATACCTTATTGTGTTACAAGAGAGCTGCAAGGATTAAATCAAATCACATGTGGGAAGTGCCTAGCATTAATAAATAACAATGATTTAATTTTCTGAACTTCTTCATTTGGCTTTCTGATTACTTTTTTATTAACAAAACGTTTGATGATTTCTTTTGCCCAGAATGCTCTCGTGAGCCCCGTGAATATTTCTAGGCAAGGTGTATTTGAGTCTATCAGAAGCAAGTTAAGTGTTCTCAATGTGGTACATATGCCTGTGCTTTCATTTTTTACTACAATAATTTTTTACTTTTTCACTTTTTTTTTTTTGTCGAACTCAGGTCAGAACCCTTTCAAGTTACCATTGCTTGGAAAGTTTTCTTGAACTAGCATTAACCCTATGCCCTTAAAAAGTCATGTTTTGAGCTTTGTTACAATATGTTCTCAAGTTATTTTCTCCTAACTTCCTCTTGCCTCCTGCCTTTGACATATGCCTCCATTCTGCCGCTAATCATAGTACTTCCTCATTTTGATTTTCCAAAATCCTTCTCCCCCAGTGTATACAGAAAAGGGCCTGCATCTGTGCTCCTACTCAAACCATTTCAGTGTTAAAGTCTCTCAGTTTGAGGAGGAGTCAAATGAGGACTCAGAAGTCTCTCATTTGAGGAGAACTAAAGGTAGAGTTCTGGTTCAAACATGGGCTTCAGAGGGCAGACACCGCCTGTGGGCTCTACTTGGTCACCCAAGTCAGTGAGACATTGATTCTCCTAAAAAGCAGTCTTTTGATGTATTCTATAGAATAGGTAACATGGAAGCCCAACTCTGATAAAAATGGGCAGTTATATTGTAATCTGTGAGAGCACCATTTTCCTCAAAATAATTATCTTGAATTGGCAACAAGCATCTCAGATTTCCTCTTTCCTTATCCATGCTTTATGACTCAGCCCACAGGAGAAAGTAAACATGTCCTACAGGTCACAGATTCTATAGTAGTAAGGCTAAGTAGAAGAATCATAATACCTGTGAGGCCAGGTAGATTTAAAACAATTGCATTAATTTAAATGTTTCTTCAGAATACTATGCATTGCCAGTCTCCTTATTCAAACTAAGGTAGTACTTACTGACTCCCAACTCCGGAGGCAGATATTTTGCTATTTTTTTATGTCCATACAATAGCTCAGTGGCACAGAAATTATCATCAATTTGTGGGTAAGGACAGGAAGGTTTAAAAAGGTTAAATGGAACTGCGGCCACACAGTTATTAAATGATTCCTTTTCTTCAAATCTAGATACTCTTCTTTTTACTGTGCTATTTTGCTTTATTTTAGGTATCCATTTTCAATTGGAGAAAAGTTCCAAGTGTGTAATTACAGTGGATATAAAAAAAGGAATTCAAATTAGTAATATCATTATCTCTCTCTGTTTCTAGTTTGTTCGAAGCAGGTAACTGATGAAGCATCTTCCACTCGAGATTCAAGCCTTACTAACACAGCAGTGCAAAGCAAGTTAGTGTCTTCCTTCCAGCAACACACCAAAAAGGCTCTTAAACAGGTAAGATAGCTGCCATTTATTCTTTGTCCTTCAGTTCTACGCACTTAAGGTAATGTGTGTTTTGCTGATCAAGTAAATAATAACCTTGCCATCAGAAAGCAGTAGAATTTTCCTGAATTCAACCCCATCCATGATATTAAGTTCAATAATTTTAATCTATGATAAAAAAACTAGGAGAGGCTTGACTGAGAATTTGATGTAAAATAGAAAGACTATGCACTCACTGAAAATATATAAAAATTTGTATTAAGATTTTGTGTGTCTGTGATTTATAGCAGTAAATTAATTGGGTTCATAAATGCATTGCATGTTTTAAAGATAATATCTCTATGTTTTTTGTGCTTATCTGACAGTATAAATTTCGTTACTGAGATGCATTAAGTTACAAATAAGAAAAATAGTGAATGTTGCTTACTTATATCTAGAATATTCATTTATGAATGTTGTTTGGTACTGAATGTAAGTTAAAGTTGCAGTATTACTCTGCTGTCACAGAGGCAGTACACGTACCTGTATGGCCTTGCACTGAGATGGTGCTGTGAGGGGATGGTTATAAGATTGGGCTCTGGGCACTGACATACCCTGGTTTGAATTCTTGCTACTCATTTGCTGTCTCTAGGCAAGCCACTTCCCCTTTCTGAATCTTAAATTCCTTATCTAGAAAATGTGGGAAATAATAGTATCTTGCTCGTAGGATTGATCTGAGAATTAACTGAGTTAATAGGATGAAAGCACATGGTAGAGTGAGTGGCTCAGAGAAAGAATAGTGACTTCTGTCATACTGGCAAAGGCTAAATTGTGCAGAGAAGAAAATGAAGACATGTTATGGTTAGGTGGAGCCATCACATGATGATAACACAAAGAGTTGCAATAAATGGAAGGTTCACATATTTAACCCTGAATTCATAGTTTCTCCTTGTTTAAGTGCTTTCCTCTTGTACATTCCATTTTAATCCTTCTGTAACAACTCTCTTCAGCCTTCCATTGATGACCTTTACCAGGTCCAGGAATAGAGGCATCAGTCTAGTGATATATTTATCACAAGGAAAAGAAAAATTATGTTTTCTAAAATAGCTTTTTTTAAAGTTCCACCAACCACTAAAGCTTCTTAATATTCATATCCAAACATCTATACTTAAAACATCTTTACCTACCTTCTCCTGTACCTCAGACAAGAAAACAGGAAAGAAACCTAACATGTTTATGCTGAATTATATTATGTTCCTATTTCATATTACTGACATTGCAGCATTGACATTTATTGGTTATTATATTGAAGTTAGTAACAGTATTTCACCCTGCATAGGTCTGTGGAGAGCTTGCCACTTACTGCTTTTGAAATGTTTTAGATGCCAGAGAACAAAATTGAAATCGGTGCTGAGATCCCTTTTTAATTGATAAAACAAAAAATGGATGTAGGTAGCAAAGCCTGGGTGACTCATTTAGGCAGCAAATAAGATGCAGGTAATAAAATACTAACGAGCATAGAACAAAAGATACAAAAATGGACACTTGTGGCTGTGGCATTTAAGAAACAAAAATGGGATCATAAACGAAACTCATACTTCTGAGGTTCAGTGACTTGGAAAATGTGCACACCCTAAAATTTTCCTGTATATGAATGAAAATATAAAGGTACAAGTGTCTGTATTTTTCTCTATCATTAATTTGTACTTTCTTCATTTTGGTTTGTATTGTTTCAACATTTTTTACAATTACTAAAACATGCAATTTTAAGTGATTCTTTTTGTTTTTTTTTTTTTTTTTGGAGCATATATTCATGGGAACTGCCACTGCTTGTTTAAAGTCTAAGCTTTGTTTAAGAATCCTGTCCTAAAAGCTTTTTAATGTCCTGAAAGAGTTATCAATTTATTTCTTAAAACTTCTATTTTATAACCTAGTAGCAAATTAGTAACCAGGAGAATATGGCTCAATATGTTGCAGATATGCTAATATTTGATTAATAATCAAATTCATATTGGAAATACATTTAGAAGAAAAGCTTTTCTTGCAGAATTTTGCCCAGATCCCATGTAATTGCTGAATTTCTTAAGACAGCATTGCAAAAATTGACTGAACATGCAGCATTTTAAACTGTAGCAACCTCAGCAAATCTACAGCTTTCTTTTCTTTTGGATAGCTGAATGGCTATGACCATGTAGAATTCTTCATGTTTCATATACATATACATATATATATATGTATTTCCATATACATGTGTTCTCTGTTTATGAATATATGTTTTATGTGTATATGTACATGCACAAATCATAATCATATAAACTAGGGCCAGCAGAATGATTTTAAAACAATTACATTAGCTGATAATTAATGATGATGGATTCTGGATACCATACTCTCCATTTTACATGGAATATATGATTTGATTCTCATGCAAGTGCTTTGAAGTATGTACTCATATCCCCATTTTTCAAAGGAAGAAACTAAGACCCAAGTTAGGTAATTTGCCCAAGATCACCCAGCAAGTAAATCTTAGAGATGGCATTTGAATCCAGAATCATAGTTTCAGATTCTGCCCTCTTCACAAATACTGCCTTTCAGCATATGCTATGTAATAGTATAGATGAATTTTTGATACTATCCAAGAAAATCTACATACTTGAGTTGTTATGTAGCATATGGAAAGCAATACAGCATAGTTATTAAAATAGCATTTCTGAACACAGGCTGCTAATGTTCAGTACCAGCCCATATTGATAACACACATTCAAATATATGTCATTATTATTTTATTATAAATATGTTGTGATTCAGTAGGACTTTAGTAGTCTGTACATTAGCCAGTGTAGACTCTTAAAAGCAGTAGATTTTTCAAAATTCCTGAAACCAAATAGCTTTATGACCATAAGTGAAGTAAAAACATAAAATTTAAAACAAACTGTCTTACAAAATATGCCAAGCATAATTTCTCAAGTCTGAAGGACCCCACTTTCTACTCCTGCCTAAAGTACGTTGCTACAGAGAGTGGGCTCTTTGATGTCATAGCACTATTGATTGCAGTGTAATTGTAAACTGGACAATCTGGAAGCTCTAATGTCCTTTGACTATTGACATAGAATATTTTTATTGCTCCCAAATATTTGAGTCCCTTTTACTTTCTAATCCTTAAAACGTTAGTTAACATCATATGTTGGGCTTAATTGCATGAATAATATATTGTTATTTCAGTAGTTGTCTTCTTTTTCTGCATAAGCATATTCAGAAGCCTCTGGAGAGCAGCAGATTGCTGATTATTACCTTGTTCTCTGTCTTCTTTCTGCCTGGGTATTTTAGTTATCATGATTCTAAAAAGTGTGAAAAGATTAGATTTTGAATTTAAAAATATAATTCAAAAAGATTAAATTTTGGAAGTTTTAAACAGGCACAAGATAATGAAAGGTTAAAGATGGATGAGTTCTTTTATGGCAAGAGACAAGGTAGTGAACATAACCTTTCTATGTTGTTTGTGTTGGTTTATTTGACTTTCTTCATTATTTATTTAGCGTGGTTTATTTGTAAAGTTGCAGATGCTATTTCTTTTTGATATTGCAAAGCAGATCTATTCTTGGTATTTTGCTTTAGCTTTATATGTTTGACCAATACTGTAAAATTCCAAAGGTTATATAGCATGATAGCAGTTTCTGAACATGGGCATTGACATTTATCACACTAGGAACAATGCAAGTTGTTGGTGCCTGACACAGCCCGCTGCTTCCTATGTGTATTTCTAATCATTTAACTTTTAGCATTCACAGCATGTGACAGTTTCAGATTTTCAGTGAAAAGTTACTGCATTCAATGCATTCTTAAGTTACATTGCTGGTGTTTATTTCATTATTAAAATAAAGCAGGCATTACTTGCTTAAAATTCCCAGTTAACACAAAAGCCTCTGATTTGAAGTTTTATTTTATTTTTCCATTAGGATAGGAATGAAAACCAACCCACATTTTTAGAATTATCGAAAAAGCTTTCTGTCTGAAAAATCAAATGTTTATTTAAAGGTTTTTTTTTTCTTTTTGCAAGAAAGTATTGCAATATGTCACTAGAGAAAAGCATGCTCAGTCAGCATCTTTTGATTTGTTTTCTTTCACTTAGAGCCAGAATTGAATTGATGTGAGTGTGATATGTTCTCCACTTTTCCTAGACTGGGTTAGCTCTGTTGTGTGTGTTTCCTTTAAAAAGTACGTTTATTTCCAGGGTTAAGCTTATAAATTTCTTTCATATTGAATAATACCTCGAAGCATTAAACTTGGTAAGTCTAATTATACTTCTCATAACATCACAGATATTAAAATTGTACTCTGTGTGATTTGGACAGTGGAAGATTATACATGTGACCAGCTTGAAGGTACATTTCTTCATAGTAGATTGCATCTACACTCACCATTTGCTTGTTTATTTTGATTCTGATATTGCTTCTTTTGCTTCTTTCTGTATTTGAAATGACAGGATTTAAAGTTGTTCTACAAGATAGTCCATTAGTATTCTGCAGTACAGCTACGGCTTGAGACAGTTGGAGGTGTCTCATTTATATCCCCACCTCCAAATTAATCTAGACTAAAATAGTAAGACTGATTATGTAATATCTGTCAAAATAAATCATGTTATAGACAAATCAACAGGGCCGCCGCTAGCTAATTAAGACCTCTGATGTATAATAGAAAAAGCTGCCCCTTCCAAGTTGTCACAACAAAAAATATCCCCTCTTTTAGGATACCTCTGTATAGGACACAGCATCTATGACTCTAAAGTGATCTTAATCCTGTTTTCTTAATCTATTCCATGAATTTATAATTTCCAGGCCGTGAGATACCCAAATATACATAGTTATAAGTTAATTTGCAGATGATTTCTATTATATATGTAGCATAATATAAAATAGGAATTTTCTTGTTTTCATAGCATTTCATCTAAAGCTCAAAGCTGCAGACAATATGATACCAGTAACCCTGTTTGGAAGAGAGGTGTCAGACATAGCCGCAAAGGACTAAGAGGAGGCCAGATGGTTGATTGAACAACCCCCAGCAGATGCATAAAAAATAACTCAAGATTTGGGCACTGTGTGTGTGTGTGTGTGTGTGTGTGTGTTTCAGACCTTGTATTTTTAAGGATTATGAGATTTATTAAATTCTGCAGGTAGAGGGCTGATCATAATGGCTAGGCTAAACATTGTCAAGTGGGACAACGATGCTGACTGTGCTTGTGGCCTGAGCAGGTGCTTAACAGTTAGTCAAGCATGGGAAATTTGTAAAGACCTTGCCCAGGAAAGCTGCCTGCTTAGGTGAGAGGAGCCAGGTATGTGGAGCCTGTGCAGAGGGGAAGCATGGAGGTCAGTTACAGAGAACTTGGTTGATGTCACTGTTGAATGTAGTTTCAAAGGCTTCCCTACAAAAGCTTCTTACATATCCACTGATGAAGACCATAAAAATCCAGCAGTTGGCCTTCTGCCTCCCAGAAGGTTATGATGTCATGGCCATGACAATACTGGTTAAGACCACTTTGCCCTGGTCTTCTCATTCCTACACTCAATTCTAATCCTGGGGAACTCAGAAAAAAAAAAGAAAGAGGAAACAGAGGAATAATAAAATCAGGAAACCTTTCTCCAGTGAAATTTCTGATTTGAGGCAGAGGCATGGTTTGGGGACGGTTGGAGGGAAGCTTTCTATTTGTCCCCACATTTTTTCATCCTTAATCCTTAAGTCCTCCCTTGGCAACCATTTTGGAGTTCTTTGCTTTCTCTGTAAACCTTCTTCTCCCTACTCCTTTTTTCTATCCACTGTTTTTTTTTTTTTAATTTCTAAAATAATCAAAAGTCGTTGCTGCTAGTAGATGTGATACTATTTTTTTTTTACATATTGGAGACCCCACAGTTTTCACACAACTGGTTTCTTCTTGTCATTTATGTCTCATCTCCTTTGTTGCTTCCAAAAAGGCTTTCTGACATCTCACTCTAGATTGTATCTCCCCACCCAAGTTACTCTACTTCAGAGTATAATTTTCTTAGCATTTGTATGTGAGTGAAACACTGTTATTGTGTGTATTTCCTTGTCAATCTTTCACTAAAATGTGTAATAATTAAAACCATTGTCATATTCACTAGTATGGATCAGTAGCACCTATGCTATGGTACAATTGAATAAGGTCTCAAAAATGCATTGGTTACAGAAAAGATAAATTATATAAATAGAAAAAATGGCATTTGTTGAGTATGTACTATATAAGGTAAACTCTGCTAACCACTGTTGTGCAGATTTTCTGTTTAAAGTGTTGTGCCTGCACTACTACCTCTGTTTTGTAGGGACATTGACCCAAGTCATTCACCCAGCAGCTAGTTAGTTGAATCTCTCTCTGACTCTACCACTCCTTAACCACAGCATCACACTGCCACTGAAACAGCTCCCTTAGTTCTTCTGCTGTTCAGCACATTAAAAGAAAGAGATCTTAATAGCTATTTTGGGTAGTGGTCAGACTCATTTATTTGGATGATGAGTGGGGAAATGGTGTTTAGTAGATCTCAAAAATTGGTGCCCTCATGCTGAATTTGGCCCATAATCAGCTTTGCTTTGTCTGGCACATTTCTTAAAAACAGGAAGATTCATGTGGGAATCTAGATTTGATGCTACTCTTGAGTAGCAAGTGACCCTTCCAGTGAGGTATGTGTTCCAGCTAACTGCAGTCTCCTACTCTGTCCTTGCCTTACCCACGACCAGCCTAGCCCAAAAAGCATTTGCATTTTTCGGAGGATTGTGAGGAGATGTGCAGTGTATGTTTGAGTGGCTAATATGCATATAGTTGCAGAAATAGAGTTATAAAACAACAAGAAGAAATTGAAGAGCAAGTTCTCTTTACTTGTAGGTTGCATGTCCTGCAACAAGGGAGCAGGAGTCCATGGCCTGCTTCATGGACAGAAAAAATGCTAGAGTTCTCTTGTTTAGAGTCAACCCATCTATTCCAAACAACTCAGTTGAGGAAACATTGTTTTTGTCCTTGTATCAGCCTTCTCATCTTCTTGGAGGGTGTCCCCATTGTCCAGACTCAAAGAAATTCTACTTTCTGGAAAGTGAATTGGAATCTTTATGGTAGCCACAGACTCCATCTTAAATGCCTGTGGGTCTAGGAGGTTAAGTCAAGAAGCCACCTTTTATCATTCTGATAAATGAACTCCAAGATGCCTGTGTTTGTCTAGCAGTCTGCTCCTTTCCCACTGTTACTAGTTTCATAGTAAATGAAGACTTCCCAATTTTTGCCTTATCTGCTCATCTGTTATTTGGGAACACATCTAATGCTTGTTTTTCAGAGGTAAAACAAATAAGTATATATATTTTAAAAACTCTTAAGATTCTTCTATAATTTGCAGATGATTTATATTATGTTTGTATTATAATGTAAAATAGGAATTTTCTTCTTTTCTTAGAATTTCAGAAAATTCTGAAATTTTGTAAAATTCTTCTGTAATCCCAGTACTTTGGGAGTCCGAGGCAGGCAGATCACTTGAGGTCAGGAGTTCAAGACCAGTCTGGCCAATGTGGTGAAACCCTGTCTCTACTAAAAACAAAAAATTAGCTAGGCATGGTGGTGCACACTTGTAATCCTAGCTTCTTGGGAGGATGAGGTGGAAGGATCACTTGAACTCATGAGGCAGAGGTTGCAGTGAGCTGAGATCATACCAGTGCACTCCAGTATGGGCAACAGAGTGAGACTCCATCCCAGAAATGTGTATATATATTTTTATATGGTAGGGATTTAGTTTTGTTTGCCTGCAGGTACGTAGTGTGTGTCAGTACTTTTAAAAAAATATTGTACTAAGAAATAGGTTTTCTGATCAGGAGATGTATATTCAAAAAACATTATTCAAATGGGCTCAATAATGCTTACTTTCCTTTAGCCTTGCCTTGACTCCACCTTATCTCTTTAAAATTCAAAAATGCTGTGGGTTTTTATTCTTATTGCTCTAGAAATTGAGGTCAAAATTTTTTTTGCTTTAATTATTATTTACCACAAATGCTCTAAAAAGACATGCCAGCTTTGACTTTATGATTCCAGCTTCTAGTTAGTTCATCTTTTTTTCCTAAATATTTTCTAAAATAAACTCTCTAACCCCCTGCCCACCATGCACACTGATTATTTTTTAAATGCCTAATTTATTTTTCCATGAGAAGTAGTTTAAGTATATGCTGTAAAGACTCCTAAAAATTGATCACTTTTTGTACAGGCTTAATTGTTTTGTAAAGTCTTACATAATGGGCAAAGATGGACTTAATTGTAATTTAAATTGCTATGTTGCTATATTCTGTTTTATTATTGGATTGTCTATAAAGTACTTTGAATCCTTATATGATGCTAGACAGATTGATTCAGTTACGTGCAAAATTTATGTGCAATTATGTATACACCTTGAGAAAGAGTAAATGTATTAAATAGTTTATAACACATATGCTCTCATTAAATATATTATTGACAGCAGGCTAAAGGTGAAAAGGATGGCATCTTATTAATCTTTGTATTTCTTGCCCCTCTCCCATGTATAGTACCTGGGTACTTTATGAAAACTTAATAAATGCAAGAATCAAAGAAAAGATGTCTTAGGTTTTCATTAGCAACAGTATCATTTGTAATAGATTTCCAAAGCCTTTACTTTCTCATCAGGCTTTAAATCTTATCTGAACAAGTTATCTGCATAATTTAAATGCTTTCTCTCATTTAAATGGTATTTAATTTTCACTTATGTAATTATTTGATTGCTAAATCTTATGGCTGACAAGTTGGGCATTCAGCTAATACCTTTTGCAGATAAAAGGACATCGTTTTTTGACAGCAAGGGGAAATATAGTCAAGGCAGTCTTTCAGGAGATTCTGACAACTCTCAGTCGAAAAACATTAATCAAGTAACTGGGATGTTGTAAAATTGGTAGAAATTACACAGAAACTAGGAATAAAAAGGCTTGAGACAGTATGAAGCCAGCCTTTTAACCTTTTGAGGAGGTTTAGCATTCCTGTGACTGTGAATTTAATGGCTCTTCAGTTTTGTGTGCTTAAGACCCTTTTATTACAGGTAATTTTCTATATGAAGTGATCAGCTAGATAAGCTGTATTTCAAAACTTTTAAATGTCTTTTATTACATTATCATCCCCGTGGTCAATTCATTTATGAAACACAAAGCACTCCCATTTGGAGAGATTTATTCTCATATCCATTTTTTCTCCTGGATTTGCTAGAACCTGTCATGTTCGTGTTCTGAAGGTTAATGCCCAAAGTCAAGCAGACAGAAGCCAAGTGCTGCAAGGTTTCCAAGATTAGGACTGATTCCCTTCACAGAAATAAATGATTCCTGCCATGTTCAGTGATTTTGTGCAGTGCTCCCCATGGCTGAGTGAGTGCATCAATACTGTAGTCCTTACATGCTGTACATACTGATGACACTCAGTGTTAACTTGATTGACTGAGCGGTGCGCTGGAGAGGACGCACCTGTGAGAGAAGTGCAGACACATATATTTTTATCCTGGTTTCGAAACATTTATTTTACATTCATTTGACTTGGGAGTCATAGTTTCAAATTCCATGGACTCTCAAGCCACAGTGCTAAGGTAGAAGAAACCATTAAGTGCTGCTTTGTTGTTAGAATTGTACTGAAAATGGTATCAGGCTTATACCCTTTGCCAAAGCCTGATTTTATGCTTTTGAGGGAAAATGATATGAAGGTAACTATTAAGAATCCTGAAAAATTAGGGGCTCTGTGTAATTTAAGTCTCTGAAGAGGTTCTATCTAATGATGGGCAAATGAGTCATTTAATTATGAGAAATCATTTTGGCTATATTTTTATGTTATATCTTTTTATTATGTTTTGTAGGCTTTGAGGCAGCAGCAGAAAAGAAGAAATGGAGTCTCAATGATGGTAAACAAGACAGTTCCTCGTGTTGTTTTGACACCATTAAAGGTGTCTGATGAGCAGTCAGATTCACCTTCAGGTAAAGAGCTGAAATATCGTATGCTTGGCCAGTTTCTTCCTGGAGGAGACTTCCTTACTGAGAGAGATATTATGACTTTTTTCTGAAACTGAATAATATTTCCACTTGAGGTTTGGTTTAATTTTTTTATATCTTTGACTCAGTAATTCAAAAATATAGACTACTTCCAGTTTAGAAAAGAAAAAGGCACCAGCTTGCTCGTCATGATCAAATGACTTCATTTGCTAAAGACAGTAGGTGTAAGAAAATGTGTAGGTGAATTTTGTTGTTGCCTTGGCTTTTGTTTGAATGTTGAACTTCAAAGGTGGACCACATGCTGATGTATAATACCCATCAAAAGCAGTTCTTGGTGAGTGTGAATTTGTTTTTCAGTCCCGTGCTGCAAAATCAGAAATCCTTTATTAGTTTTTGTGTTCTGGCAGCATTTTTCTCACCCAAGTGCAGTCCTGACCTTTTCTTCTAATTTACCTTCTGTCACTTTATCAGCTATGTACTATTCTATTTGTTATAGATTAACATTTGTATTTTCTGTTTCTACTTCAACATAAAGTTATATATAAAAGTATAATCTCTCCCTCTCTTAGATTTATTTCCTCATCTTTCTGTCTCTGTCTTGTGTTGTCTCCAAATGGCATAGTATTGTTCAAGCTTATTCACGTAGTTTTACAAAAGATCTGACTATTTCTTTTAAAAGCTATCAGATCTCTGAACGTATTTTTGACTCCACTATTAGGCCATCTGTTCTTGCTTTTTGTTCTGTTTGATTGATTTATTGGGCTTCTCTTTTTATATCCAGTAGAGGAATCAGATTGTGGCCAAAGGTAGTATATTAACTCTTAGAAAAGGAGATTATATCTACAGTTCCTCAAACAATTTTAGATTTTTCTTTTCAAGGACAGCTAGAGAAGATAATGACATAATAACTATTTCCTTTTATAGGATCCGAATCTAAAAATGGTGAAGCAGACAGTTCAGATAAAGAAATGAAACATGGGCAAAAATCTCCCACTGGAAAACAAACAAGTCAGCACTTAAAACGATTAAAAAAGTCTGGTTTAGGTGAGTGTTTAATAGACTGTGCCATTTCATGTTTTAGAAATTTATGTCTTTTCAAATAAATTAAGGAAAATTCTTAGAACTTTTTTTGTTTCAGTGATTAAACAAGGAAATTAAAATTTCCCTCCATTTATCCAAACCAAGAAGAGTGCTAAATAAGGAAAGATTGTAGTTACAACTGAATGGTCTTAAGCCTATTGCCAAATTTGTGAATGATGTTATTGGATGAAGCAGAGGGTAAAGATAGGAGACTTAAATTGATGTCTGTAAAATAGTTATCTGCCTGGCCATGATTCTATCGAATATGCAGTATTTGTCTGTGCAACTAGGTTTCACTTTACTGGAATATACTGTATCGGAAGAAAAAAAATGCAACCTTTATAAAGGGTTCACTGAACCGGGGAGTACATCGTCAGTGGGGTCTACTGCAGTAAAATTACACTTTCTTGCTTTTTTTCTATGCTGCTTAAAATATTTAGTAGTACCTGTCTGAAAAAATAATGTAAAATTTCTGAGAAATGTGGGAGACACACTCCACGGGTCTTTCAAGTCAGCACCAGGTTTTCTTCAACATACTTCTTCCTGATAACTTTTCATCAGGAACTCACAACAGCATCCAGGGAGAAAAGAACATGAAAATTAAAAAGACAAAAATAAATGTATCTTGAGTCAAGCATTAGAATTCTCAACTGCCCTGCCTTGTTGCTACACCTGGACCTAATGGCTTCATTTCTTTCTCTAAGTTGTTTTACCTGTGAATGGGTTCATGATAATAACCTAGATCATTATAATATGTTGTAAAATGTTTAGCAGAAACCATAAATTTATTGACATGAACTTTATTACCTGTTCTGCCACTTACTTTCTTGGCAACTTGAGATAATTCTTATTTGCAGAGTATCTCTGTTTATAAAATTCAAGATTTTATCTGATTTTTTTTAGTGAAGTTTTATCAATTACTATCATATGACAGACATTTTGCTAAATCCTGGGGCACACTTTCAATAAAAAGACTTTAAATAGGATTTTTTTATCCTAAGATAAGAGACTTTTAGGAAAGCAGAATCTCTTTTGGATTTAAAATCTTTAAAATAGAGCATAATTCCCTATTTTGCATTGTTTTCAAGGCTAATTTTATGGTTATTCCCTAGTCCAAAATATATGTGTTTGTGTATAACCGTACTTACCTATACATTGACATATTCTTTCCTAGTACTCTGGGTGTTGCAAGTATTTTAATATAAGTAGCTTCTGAAATAGAAAACCATAGTGGGTGAGTGATATATAAAGAATATATTAAAAATATATATATCGCAAATAGTAGCACATTATCATACACTAACAGACTTAAATATCAGGTGACCTTTAGTTAAAAACCATCGGCTACCAATCTCTGTAAAGTTAGTGCCATGTAATGAGTGTATGAAAATTAAAGTCACAGGGGCATCTCCATTTATTTCCTTAGTAACTTCAGGACTGAAAGTTACTAAGGTGTACCATTATCAGGATCCTATCAGGGGCTCGAATCTTCAGTCAGGATCTCCTATATTCATTATTATTATTATTTTTTTCGAGATGGGTTTTGCTCTTGTTGCCCAGGCTGGAGTACAGTGACACAATCTCAACTCACTGCAACCTCCATCTTCCCAGTTCAAGCGATTCTCCTGCCTCAGCCTGCTGAGTAGCTGGGATTACAAGCACCACCACCATGCCCAGCTAACTTTTGTATTTTTAGTAGATTCAGGCTTTCACCATGTTGGCCAGACTGGTCTCAAATTCCTGACCTCAGGTAATCCATCTACCTCTGCCTCCCGAAGTGCTGGGATTGCAGGAGTGAACCACCATACTTGGCCTAGGATCTCTTGTATTCTGATTGTTGTACCTTGAAGTCCATGCTCAATGAATTAGAGAATCACAATTTATTTTTGATACTGAAAGTCAACTGAAAGATACAAAAACTGATCTACAAGTCTGCTCTTAGGAAGTCCTGCAGGCCACTAAACGTCTTATATGTTAAATATCATGCTGCTGAAGTATTTCGGCTGACTTTTTAGCAAATTAAAAGGTAATGACGAAGGCCCCCCAATCTTTTGAGACTAGAAAGTAGTAGAGATAATGAAACTACTTTAATGGAGGAATGGAGAAGTGAAGTCACATATTCACTGGCCATATGTAATGGAATGGTCTAGGTATTTTGACATAAATTACGCTTTTAATTTTACTTCAATTTTGTATAGTAGGATGATGTCTGTTTTACAGCTGAAGGAGCTGAGATCCAGAAAGGTTAAGGAGGGTGCGTGAGAATGGCACAGCTAAGTAATACAAGCCAAGGCATACCTAACTGCAAAGTCGAAACCATTCATTTTGGATAGAATCTGAATGTCAAATCATCTAACCTATATTTTAGACCTGTAGGCACCACAGAGGGAAATACAAGAAATGACAGGATGAGACTACCATACGTGTTAAAGTGCACATCTAATTACACGTGGAAGGAGAGCTAGCAGTTGTAAGATTTCTCACCCTGTCCTATATCAAACACAAGGAGGAAGAAGGTGGGATTTAAAATAAGTCAATTGAAGTACAATGCTGTCATAAATAAACTGCAGGCATTTACTTGGTAGGAACTGTGACTGGCTGATTAACGTATCAAGCAGCTGAAGGGAATGGCTTATTTTGTGCAAATGAAGTCAGTAGTACTTTTAAAGCTTCCAATATACGCCCAGCAGTAGAAAATGGAAAAACGTAGAATGAAAGGACAGGCCTGAAATGTAACCATCTCCTGAAAATAACTCAAGTCCTTTTTAGACAGTGATGTTTTTGATGTCCTATTAGAATCAGGCTGATATTTAATACTCGGTAAGGCATCTTTACATACATTCTGCTCTTTGCCATCAAGTTGTTAACTCCGTGGGACAGTGGCCTTTCTGCCCACCTCTGTAGTCTTTACTAAAACCATCATAGCCCTTCTGTTTAGAAGGTTCTGAATGAGTTTGGAATGAACGACTGATTCTAATTAACTGAATGGCCTAGAAGTTTAGATGAACAAATTACACATCCTGTGGGGTTCAGCATAGTGAAGCTACTGCTATCTTCTTGAATGAAAATGATTCTGTGTTTGTGGAGAAGATCATTCTTTGTGCACCAATGTGTAGCTACCAATACAAAGGAGTGATCCCACCTCATATCCTTTAGCCAGCCAACTAGAGACAGCCTGTATTTCCTGTTCTATTTTTTTCCACCTGAGTTAGATGTCTAATTCACATGGTTTTGGAAATGAGGCTTCTAACTTTCTTTGCCTTCTCTAGGTAGTGGGTTGGTATGTATAAGTCCTAACCTGTTGAAACCATGCTGAAGTAAAACAAATACCATAAGTCTGTTCTAATGTAATAATTCTGAAACAAAATCCAATGAAAATCAGAATTCAGGATGTAACTGTACAATTTTTTTTCTCATTGTGATATTTTTCTAACAGGATAAACAGTTCTTGTAATTTCCCCCAAGTACTTCCTCTTGATCTCTAGCAATTAGTTGCTTTGTCAGTTTGCAAGATATTCACCCTGTGCAAGGTATGGGTTTCACTTGGATCCTAAGAATCTGAGAATTAATCACTTTATTCTTGGAATCTAATGAGTGTAGCCCAAGACACAATGGACCCTAGTATGTTCTCTCAACACTCTTAATACGGGAGGCACCATGGACCCCCTCAGACAATTTCATGCTTAGCTTCCCTAGAGAGGGTTAGAAGCGTACAATAAAACAATAATAAAAGGAGAAACTTCAAAATTCCTGTCTCAGTTTTAATTCTTAAATTGAAAAATAAAAGAAAAATATTCCTCAGTCATTCTAGTTCTGATGGTAATCTCGAAGTTCTCATGAGAATTATACCACCCAGCTTAGGAAGCTATGACTGTTGATGTGGGTTTTTTGTTTTGTTCTGTTTGTTCATCGCCAGGGTTATGTATGAAAACTGTGATGATATTTCTCTGAGTAGTCCACTGTTTATCAGACTTGGTCATGGGGTGAGTGCAATTGAAAAATATAGTGCTTCTAAAATGATATGTATTTCTCTGATGATGTTGTAATGAAGGAAAACAAAACTTTGGTGGTCCCTTTCCTATTTCTTAATCGAGTATAATAGAAAACACTGTTCTGATAGGCATAAAACAAATGTTAACAATGTATACAAAGACTTCTTTATTATAGGTCTTGAAAATTTTTATAACAGTAAATGTTAGACTACCAAATAACCAGGCAGTAGAAATTTTATCTACTAGGATGAAGGGTAGGTGCCAGCTGCAAATGCGGTTTGAAGCATATGTTTTTCTTGCCTCATCAGTTGTTTTAATAATACCCTCTCTCCTTGTCTTAGCAAAGGACAAATCACTTAAAACCCTCCCCCATGAAGTTTTCTGAGACAAACCAGGTACATTATCATCTCACTGTCTTAAAACAAAGATTTCTGAATATATAAAAAATTCTTTAGTAATGTACTCTTTCCACTTGTTTTCTACTTCTTAATATCTTACAATTTTCCTAACTAAAATGTAAGTTCCCCTAATTCAAGGTCATTGACCTAAACCAGTTTTAATTATACTTCTTCCTACCCAATCACATAGTAAGAGTTTAAAAAGTGCTTGCTAAACAAATGTATGCTTCTAATGAATGTCTCCAAGGGGATTTTAATAATTGTCCTTGGTGGGCTTAACTTCTGGGATTCATTCCAATATATTTTATTTAGTTTAATGTTTTTGCAGTGAAGAATTATAGCTTTGTTGGTTTTATAAAATGGTACATGCTCTTTAAATAAATCACTATATAAATATAAAAATAAAGTTTGAATAGTCCCACATCTTTTCATCCAAAATAATTATCTCCAGTGCATTATAAACATTATTTGATATTTCTTACTGTGTATCTATAGCCAGATTATATTAGAAAAACCTGTATTATACCATTTTAATTGAAAGTAATAAATTTAATTAATTTTAGCTGAAATGATAAAAAAGTAAAACCATAAAAACAAAATTGTTAAATATTGCCACAAGATATATTCATATCTAAAAGTTTTCTCCAGTTATTACAAATATAACAACATATAATAACTGAAATAAGAGTGATTGCCTTTTTAACTACTCATTTCAACTTTAGACAATATATTATAAAAAGATAGGGAAATAATTACATTACAGACCTTCCTACCTGCATATTTTTGTTGCATTATTTTTTGAATACCAGAGTTGATAACATTTATATTTTATTTAACTGTAATTCATATAGTTCACTAACCCTGATACTATATTTTAATGGATTCAGTGCTCCATATAGACTTTTTACACAGTTTCTTCATTTGTAAATACTACATTGATTCATGTTGTATATTGATTAGATTTGCCCTCTGATAGATATTTTTCCCATTAGTCTTTATTCTTTGAAAGCTGATTTTTCTTCTCGGAGCGCCATTTAATTTAATTTTATTTTAGAGACAAGGTCTCCATCTGATGTGCAAGCTGGAGGGTAGTCATACAAATAGCTCACTGCAGCGTCAAACTCCTGAGCTCAAGAAATCCTTCTGCTCCATCTTCCCAAGTAACTGAGACTACAGGCATGCTCCACTCTGCCAATGCTACTCTTATTTATTTTAGCTACAGGGTCTTGCTGTTTTCCAGGCTAGTCTGGATTTCCTGGTCTCAAACAGTCCTCCCATCTCAGACTTTTGAGTAATTGGGATTATAGGCATGAGCCACTACGCCTAGCAGAGCTCTTTTTCAGAATCATTCCTCTTAATTTATTGAGACCACGAGGAACTCTTTGATTTTGAACTCTGTGTTTGTTTGAGCAGTGCTTCTTGTCTGCCTGGTCTGCTTTTTGCATGTGCTGTTCTATGTGAGTGTTTCTGCATGCACACTTCATACATAATCCTTCTTTTCTGGGATATGTGAGTCCTGAAGCCGGTAGACTGCCCAGTGATCAACAAATGTTCAGGAGCTTGCAACTTTTACTCAGGTTGGTGGTCTTCGAACTCCCTGTGGCCAAGATAATAGAGAATTTCCCTGACCCTAGTGGAACACATTTGCCATGGTTTTTATCATGAGATCAGTCAAGTGTCTTCTTGTGTAGCATAGACTGGCAATGTAGTAATTGTTGCTTCTTATCTCCTTTGCCCTACCTCAGACCCTCTAGGCTAAGTGTCTGGGAATTAGAGGCTAAAATGACTTCATCTTTTTCCTTCTCTGGGCACTGTAGGGAGATATGAGGTGCCAACTTTAATGAGATAAGACAATCATATATAATTGGATTGTTCTTAAGCCAATTAAGAGTACACGTGTAAGGATAATTAAAATGGAATTAAACATCCTCTGTGGCAATAAATTTAGTTCATCTTCTCTGTCTTTGTTCCAAAATTATAAAACATATTTTTGCTTAGGTGGACATCTTTGAAATAGATCTTTTTTTTTTTTTGACTTTGTCTTAAAAGACTATGTGCCTCTCTGAAGCTTCTTTATTCTATGATATTTGTAAACATTTTGAAACATACTAAATAATAGCAGTGTAAGTTCCTCTCTCTCACATTGCTCATAATATGTTTCTGAAGTAGAAAATAAAAAGTTTTACATTTTTCTCAGTTTTCCAACGTTTCCACCAATCAGAATCACTCTCACTAAATGAGAATACTTATGCTATGCAGTAAGAATTAAGCAAATTTTTCTCTATTTTTTTAAAAAAGATTTTGTCTCTAGTTTTGGCCTTTGTCTCTATTTCTGAGAAAAGAAGCTTCTTCCTAATTCTTCTCCCCCTGAGGTCTAAGTGTGGTGTTGTGAAATATTTCAAAGATATAAAAAAATACAGATGCTAGTAAAACAGACAGCTATATGCCCAACATTTCAACTCAATAAATGTAAGATTTTTAAAATAGAAACAACTATAAAATTTTATGTATTTATAAGTAAGATTGGCTAATATACTGTCTTTCTCATATTGTCCTGCTTTTCCTTCTTTTATAATAAAGGTTATATTGTTATTATAAAGTCAGTTGAAGAAGTGTTTTTTTTTTTTTTGCTTCCGAAATAGTATAAAATGAAATAGGGAGGGAGTTCCTGAGACTAGGTCAAGAAAGTAAGTCTTCCACCCCATGTACAATTTATCTTTAGAGCCATTTATAAATTGTGCTTTTTGTGTGTATGAGAAAGAGGGCATTACATACTTTCTCATTTTTTAAAAAGTTTTTACACATTTATTTTTCTCTTAACAGGCTAAATTTGGAAATGTATAAAGCTTAAAATAATTTGTATTCAATGACATTGCAAAGAGTCATAATATTATTATGCTTTTTTAGATCTTTTAGCTAATTAGATCTGCCTTTAAATATGTATTCTATCAAGCATTATGTCCTTACCTTTTATTCCCCTTCACATTTATTTATACTGTCTCTCATTGCTTCTCGGCCTTTGGCTAAGATCAAGTGTATTTATACCATTTCAGCCCAGAGATGTCTTTTAATAGCTTAATAAAAAATACTTCTTTATTGTTGATGGTCTTCATTGTTCTTTTGTATTTAATGAATGAATGCCTTTTTCTTTTAGTCCTTCCTTCCTTCTTATTCTTTAGATCATTTATTAACTTCATTATTTTTACACTTAAGACTTTAATTTTCAATTTTTTCTACCCTTTAATATATGCAATTTACCTTTAAAACCAATTGAGTGGCATTTTAAAATTTTCAAATACTTTATAATTCCTGTTACAAATTTTTTTCTCTAACATGTAAAGCACATACAGGTGTGTTTTTGAATGTCTAAACCTTGAATGACGTGTGAGGTATTAGAGAATTGATATTTTTTAATATACTGCATTTAATTTCTTTTTATAATATAAAGGTGAGACTTTATTATTATTCTTAAGTATCTGTTGAGACTCACTGGTCAGTTGTGTTGTTTTGTTTTCTTGTTACTTTTGAGTGCTAGGAGAAAAATGCTCTCTCTAATGGCTCAGTAAAATGCCCTGTGTTAAATCTGTTGGTTCAAGATTGATTATTGAGTTGTAAAAGTCTTCTGTAGCCTTAAGACAATTTTTTTGATTCAGACTATTAGGTTTTGGTAATCTGTGTTAATACTTTCTGTAGCATTGTATGATGTCAATTTCTTTTTTATTGTTTGAATTTGACGTATTGAGGCTGTGCTATTTAAATGGATGCAGGTTCAAGGTCACTGTATATTCCCATTAATTTAGTCCTTATACACTTAAGGAATGATCTTTTTCATCTCTAGTAATATATTTTTGTAAACTTTATCTGGCCTGATGTTAATATTGCAGTAAGACTTTTTTGTTGTTTTGAATTTCCGATTAGTATTCTTTATTTTTTTCTAATTTTTATTCTTTCCATACAATTTTTATTTTATGTGTATTTAGCAGCAAGAAAATATTTTGGTTTTTTTTTATATCTAATATGAAAATCCAGCTACCTTTATTGTGATTGTTTTGTGCTTAATTTTAATTTTTTCCCTCCTTTTATTCCTTCCATTTGATCGGTTGGGTTTTCCATCCAACCGTTTATTTGGAAATTATAATTCTTTTTTTTTTCTGATAGCTACTTATAGAATTTTAACTAAATTAAGGGACTAGTTCATATCTCTTTTGTTCCCAAAACATACCAGAGTTTTATAGTGCTCTCATTTCAATTGCATCTTCCCATTTTACATACAGTTATTGTGGAGTATTTTATTTCCACTCTGTTTGATTTCCCCCATAAGGCATTATTGTTTTCTACAGTGAATGTTTGTTTGGATTTACTCATGTCTATTAGTCTCTTAGCTTATCATTGCCTCTGCAGCTCTTGCATTTCTTCTTTGATATAATTTATTTATTTTTTTAAGAACATACACTAGTGATTATTTCAGCAAGATTCTCTAAGGGATTAAGTTTTTATTTAGGATACCAAAAACATTCTTATGATTACCATCATTTTCATTTTTTAGAGACATAGTTATAAATGAAATTCTACATTGACACAATTCCTCTTGCGCTTTTGAACGGATTTTATTGTCTGTTTTTTGATTTATTAATGGTATTTCTATCCATCTTATAATTTCTCTGGCGATAATCGATGTTTTGTTCCACATGGTTTTAAGATATTCCTTCTATTGTTGATGTTTGGAGATTTCAACTCACTAGATGCATAAATGGGTATTTATCTTTCTTGCAATTTAGTATGTAGCTTTATTTAAGAACTTTAATCATTATTTCAATTCTGAAAAATATTTCAGTGATTAGTTATTCAGATATTGCCTCTCTGCAATCTCTGTGTTTTTTAATTCTGAAGCTTCTATAAATATGCATTTTGACTTACTACATTCCCTGTATTTCTTCCCTATCACAATTTGACTCATCATTTTTCTAATACATCTAAATATTTTCCTTAAGTTCGTATCTTAATAATTTTTTTCTCTGCAATGTCCACTGAAATTTTTTTAAACCTTTTACCAAATTTGTAAAAGTATTATTTGGTTCTCGTTAAAATTAGATTGTTCTTTTATCACAGTATCCTATTTTTCCATAATTAAAAAAAATCACTCTTTTGTCTTTATTTAAAACAAGGATTGGCAAACTCTTTCTTTCAAGGGCCAGAGAGTGAATACGGTAGGCTTTACAGGCCACGTGATTTCTGTAACAACTCTTCAACTCCACATTGTAGTGAAAAATATATATAAACCGTTGGACATGATGATGTTCCAGTAAAACTTTATTTGCTAAAACAGGCATTGGACCAGATATAAATCATGAGCTATTATTTTCTGACCTCTTATTTAAAACATACTCTTTATAATCACATTCAAGTGGTTATCATAGCTCAAATAACAGAAGGGCAGGTCTTCTGTTTGTGTTTGATGCATCAGTTGACTATCCCTTATGGTATGTTATTTTCTTGTGTGTCATGATTCTGAGATGTGAACTCTACATACAGCCTTCTGTTGGAGGTCAGTGTGCCTTGAGTTGTGGAATTATCCTGCAGAGCATATTTGTATTTCAGATCTAGTAGCTAATTCATTTTTATTTTTTATTTCCTGAGACAGTTTCACTCTGTTACTGACGCTGAGTGCAGTGGAGCAGTCATGGCTCACTGTACCTCTACCTCCCAGGCTTAAGTGACCTTCCCATCTCAGACTCTGGGGTAGCTGGGAACACAGTGCATGCCACCACACCTAGATAATTTTTTGTTTGTTTGTTTGTTTTAGTTTTTTGTGGAGATGTGGTCTCACCATGTTGCCCAAGCTGGTCTTAAACCCCTGAGCTCAAGCAATTCTTCTGCCTCAGCCTACCAAAGTGATGGGATTATAGGGCAGGAGTCACTGTACACAGCCTAATATTTTTTAAAAAGAATGCTTTTTAAAGTATCACCCTCAGAAATGCCCTGAATACAAACCTTTTGACATAATCCAGTGCTTATGAAATAATCCATGAGGAGCACACAGCTATTATTGCTATTATTATCTTTATTAAGATTGACAGCACTGTTGTTTCTGTTATTGCTAACTAGGTCTTGCCAAACTTACATACATTGTAGTTGTTACTGTTCATGCATTTGGAGTTTTTGAAAATTCTTATTAATTGAAAGCTCAGAATTTTTTTTTATTGAACTCTGCTGCTGCTTTGAGCTAAAAATGTAGAAGATATTGAGTGAAGTATATGTTATGAAAACTAAAGATAGATAACTGAAGCCAGAAAGAAACATAATGGAAGAAGCTTTGGGAATTTCTCTTCTGAAATACCATTTGTAAAAGGGATAGAAGTAAACATATAATTGAATATACATGTTCACTACATATACTTGACTCTGTGTGTGTGTACATACATATACATTTCCCTCTACCTGTAGTAAATTCATGCCTCTTGCTTGTTCATCACAGGGCACCTGAAATGGACCAAAGCTGAGGACATTGACATAGAAACCCCAGGATCAATTCTTGTCAACACTAACTTGAGGGCATTAATAAATAAACATACGTTTGCTTCCTTACCTCAGCATTTTCAACAATACCTCCTGCTTTTGCTCCCAGAAGTGGATAGGCAGGTAAGTAGAAGATTTAGATATTTGATATCAGCCACTGGTTATGTTATGATGAAGTGGCAGGTCTGCTATCAAAGATGACTTACATACAGATATAGTATATTTCTGTAATTTATGCATATCTATTTATTGCTGTTATTAGCTTATTTAATCTGCTAAAACGAAACTATTTTTATTCTTAATAGCGAGCCAATTCAGATTTTAAAATACAGTACATTGTGGTAGTATGAAAACTATAAACTTACATTGGAAAGGGAAAACAAAGAAATCAAGCATTCCATTATCAAATAAATCTTTAGAGTAGCTGCTCCTTTGCCAAGAGGGAATATTGAAATGCAGCAATAAAAAGCCAGGGTTTCTAAGAAATTATGTAGATGTTTTTATCCTCAACCATTTCTAAAAGGCATTTAAAATTTATGTTTGCAATTACTCTCTGAGAGTCTATCAGTATGAATATGATTACCTATAAATAATCACCTTTTACCTTTTTAAAAATATAACTGGAAATGCTTTAAGTGAATTTTATATTTTGAAAACTTCTAAAATAAGGAAATACAAATATAAACCCATAAGAGCAGGCATCAATCATCTTTTAAGGCTGTTTGCTTATGAAAGAAAAGGAAAAAAAATTCATCATGTAAAATTTTATTAAATTTCACAAAATTTATTAAGTGCTATCTAGGAAACATTCCCTTATGATTCTTATTTCAGTAAATTCTGAAACTGTATATCATTTTCAGTTGATGAACTTAATACATGTATATTTATGAATTTGTGTCTTGAGATGATAGGTACATCCATGAATTGAAGTGGGCAAAATTTATTCAATATTTTCATATTACTTTGAATAAGTTTTCTTAGCTTTTTATTTGATTCTGTTTTCTTCTGACTTACTCATTTTCTTTCACATATATTTAAATATGATAAGCAACAGTTTGCTACAATTTGTATGTATCTCTTTGGTGGTGATTATTGTTGGTATTTAGAAAAAGATTATTTTAATTTTGAGCACATTTTCATTTCACTAGGAGATTTTTCTCTTTCAACAACATTTACTTAATATTTACTCTGAATGTGGTATGTTCTGGGTGCTTTGGAGTAATAGCAAGATGGTCAATGTTTATTGAAGAAAAGATTAAATGAACTGTAGTTGGATACATAAACTGTATTTGTAAATAACCAAAATATGAGTTAGAAACAGGTAAGCTTGAGGAGAAAAGTACAAAGTGTATTGCACTTTTATATGCAGAAGGGAAATATCAGAGTTAAATATAAACTTCTTGAATTGGGCCTTGAGATGCAGAGGTAGAATTTGAATAAAATGAATTGAAAAGTACCAAGTGAGAGTCCAATGGTACACAATCAACAGCTAATTTGGTGGAAGTCTGGATTTTAGGAAGAATGGTGCAAATGATTTTGGAAGGGCAGATGGGAAGTGGACTTTGGAAGATTCCTTGAATATGAAGCTGAGGAGTCTGGATGGTGTTCTCCCTGTGTCTGTAATACAAAGCCATTGAAGGATTTCGATTGGAGCTGTGATAATAAGACCATTACTTTTTAAAGAAATTATTCTGACAGTACTGAAAGAGAATGTTACACATGGAAAGCATGAAAGTAGAAAGAATAGTTAGAACTCAATTTTAGTTGTTCCCAAAAGGCATAATGAGGGTTTGATTTTGGAGCATTGAATTAAAATTAGAGGAAGGGAAAAATGCAGTTGTCATCATCTTATCCTCATTCTCCTTTGCCACCTCCTTCTCCAGTAGTCACAGTTTTTCATTTTGTCAAGTAAAACTTGAAGCAAGGTATAGGGAGGAACCACTGATGACGCTTCAGTTATAAGTGTGTGTGACTTAGAATTTAGACATTAGAAACTTTTCGGGGAGAGATCTGATTTATTAGCTTGTACAACTATTTCCTCCACTTCAAAACAGGTGTAGTTTATTTAGTTTACAAATCTGTCATCAGCTTCAGAAATAGCGTTTGGCATGTACAACTGTTTTAGTCCATTTGCATTGCTATACAGAAATACTTGCCACTGGGTAATCTATAAAGAAAAGAGATGTATTTGGCTCATGATTTTGCAGGCCATACATGAAGCATACTGCTGGCATCTGCTTCTGATGAGGGCCTCAGGAAACAGGAAACATACTACTGGCATCTGCTTCTGATGAGGGCCTCAGGAAACAGGAAACATACTACTGGCATCTGCTCCTGATGAGGGCCTCAGGAAACAGGAAACATACTACTGGCATCTGCTTTTGTTGTGGGCCTCAGGAAACTTATAATCATGGTGGAAAGTGAAATCATGTCAGATGGCAAGAGAGGGGAAAGAAAGGTAGTGCTAGACTCTTCTAAACAACCAGATCTTGCTTGAACTCACAGAGGGAGAACTCACTATTGCTGTGAGGACAGCACCAAGACATTCATGAGAGATCTGCCCTATAAGTCAAACACTCCCCAGTAGGCACATCTCCAGTATTGGAGGTCATATTTCAGTTGAGGTTTGGAGGGGACAAAACCCCCAAACCATATCAACAGTGTACTCAGTAAATATTTTTGGAATGAATAAATAACAAATTGTCCTAGTTTTAGTCAAAACTGGGGTAACCCAGGTGGCCAGAATCTAAGCCCAATATCTCATTCAACCTCTAGCAGTTTGTTAGAGTCAGTTTTTTCTAGTCACTCTGAGAAATATCATTGAATAAGGCACAATACTCATCCTTGAATAACAGTCCATTGAGAAACTTTTTTATTCAAAAAGTATTTACTGATCATGTATTGTGTATTTTACATAGGAATGTATCTTGTGGAAGATACAAGAATGAATCTTGTGGAAGAATAATAGAGGGGGAAAGAAAAAACTTCATATGGAAATGTTTAATACTCTGCTCACTACTGGCAAAGAAGTTTAATCAATGGATAAGTGTTATACCAAGTTTAGTACAAAACCAGTTAGAATCACATAAATGTAAAATCACATAATAAAAGTTGAAAGAAAGCTTTTTGAAGATATAGAGGATGAAGAAATTTAATCTGAATGTAGTATTGGAGAAGATTTTTATAGTAGAGAAGGTGCTTAAGTTGAACCTTAGAAGGACTGGTAGGTGTTTCTTAAGTAGAGCCAAAGAAAATTTTACAAAGGAAAGGCATGCCATTTACAAAGACTTTTTGCTTATATGTTCCAGAAGATTTAGTATTTCTGTATGACTTGAGCCACCAAAAGGGGAAAATGGTGGGCTATTTTGCTGAAGGAAAATATGGTCTATAGCATTGATGACCTGATAGTAGGCTAAACTCTTTGAAACCAGTATGTACCATCAAAGACACTTCAAATGGGACATGACATGCAAGAAATAGTTTAAACACATATTTTAGTGCCTAGACATAGGACAGGGGAAGATAATCCAAAGGATAAATAAAATGCAGTTTTTATTTTCTTTTTTGGAAGCAAGTACCTCTGTGAATGACGGATTGGACAGTAGAAAGGTAAGACCCAGAGAGGCTAGTTAGGAGACAGTTGCAGTAGTTGAGATATGAAATAAATGTCTGACCTTGGTACTGGAGCTAGAAATGGAAGGAATTAATTCCAGGCATATTTTCAACCCAGAATGAATAGGAATAAATGACAGCTATGAAATGGGATTGTTAAAGGTCTAGAAGGCAATTAGAGATTTTTTCTAGGGTGACTTAAGAAAGAGAAGCTCTGTGGGCCTGTCAGCATTTTATACCAAGAAATTTAGAGCTAGTGTGCTCTTTTTCTGCTCAAAGTGGCCTCAACCCTCTTTTCTAGCAGAAAGGGACTGGTAACTTGATGCAACAAACTGCCAAAACTGCTGCTGTTTTAGTCTAGCTTATTGCAAATGTCCAAATGAAGATGAACACCACTATTTTGTGGCCATAATGAGTAGAGATGGCATGGGAATGTGAATTTGATTACACAGATTTATTTGAGCCAGTTGAAGGTCTTATGTGAAATACCTAAAATTTCAATTATGTCTTCACATATTTACAAAATCTGGAATTCCTTGCTTTCTTGCTACTGACTACCCCAAGTTTCTACTGCTTTGTAGCATGAAGTAGTCCTAAAGGGCCTCCTCCTCTGGACCCATGTGAAATGGATTCATTCCAGTATTACATCCTCAAAATATGGGAGCTGAGTTGCCCATTTATCTTGACATTGCCAGCTGTTAAGGCAGTCTTTCTAGGTGTTTTGTTTTCCTATAGTTGTACTTCTTATTTTTTTTTTAAGAGTTCTGTTTATCTTAGATTATACTTTTAATTTACCCCAGTTGTTTTTATCACATTGCTGCATCTAGTTTTGTATTTAATTTATTCTTCACACATTATACTGCAAGTAGAAGAAAGTCCAACTCAGAGACATTTAAGTCATAAAAGGACACTTACTGGCTCAGGTAATTAGAAGATAGAAGTTTGAGTGGGCTTCTTGTTGTTGGTCCTAGGTCTCAGTTATTATCAAAGGCTCATTTAATTATTTAAATAATTTATAAATCTTCTGCCTTCTTCTGGCTGTTTTTCTAAACCTGAATCTCTTTGTGTAGGATGTCTACCTGAATCAAGATATGCGCACTTGCCTCAATGCATGGGGAGAATACTAGTATTTCAAGCAAAAGACCTAAGATTCACACTAATGGTACTGCTTAGATCACATGAACATTTCTTAAACAATGATGCTAGCCAAGGAAATGGAATATGCAAATTGGCCTAAAACAAATATGCCTACTGTCCTTGGAGATTGGAGTGTGTTCATCATCTCCTGAAGTAAAATGGTGCACTTGTGGTAGAGGTCAGAGATATTTTAAAAATCTGTGTTTTAGAAGTTTTACCAGGGGATATATACAGGATGGGATAGATGCTTGGTAGGCAATTAACAGCACCTGTAGAAGCGGCGTTGAAATTAAGTTTTGTTTTTAACATATTGGATTGAAATTATTCCACTATATGAAATGTTCAGAAAGTCATTATGTATGCAGATTATAAGA